TATATAGCTCAGGCTGAACTCAAACTTGCAGTGATGTTCCTACCTCAGCCTTCCCAGTGCTGGAATTACAGGTGAGTGCCACGATGCCCAGCAAAAGAATCAACAGGGAGTTTTAGATTGAAATTCCTAGTGCATGGAAGTGACTCTCTTCAGCTACTATGTTTGTGCTTTCAGGGAAGGCCCTGTGCTGCAGGAAGTTAGACAGTTTTGGTACGAGCCCTGCCATTTGCCAGCTCTGTAGTGCTGTCCAGGACTCAGTTTCCTCACCTGTAAAATGGGAGGAAATTTTTGCTTCTTCACCTCATGCTCCTCTATCATATACACAAAAAAACTAAGCTGCTCTGGGCAAAAGAAGAGATGAGGACTTGGAATTTGTGGTCACCTCTGTTTCCCATCCTGAGACCCTCAGATTTCTTGGCTGAACTGAAGCTGGGAAGGACACTGCTGAGGGAGATGGAGACACAGCTAGAGGGCCCACACTGGAGTGCAGACTCGGAAACAGCAGCCAGGCACTCCTTTCGCAGCTGAGCTCAGCTCCCTGCTGTACAGTAAGATAGATTAGGGGTATGTGTGTGTGTGTGTGTGTGTGTGTGTGTGTGCGTGTGCGCGTGTGTGTACCAGGATCCATCTCAGGACCTTGCATTTCCCAGGCAGGTGCTAATGGCCACTGAGCTATCTCCCCTGCTCAGATTAGATGACTTATTAGACCCTCTTCTAGCTAGAACATTCTGTGAATAAAATCTTACATGGCTCTGCTTCGGAGACTCTTTGCTAAGGTTTCGATTAGGATTGCCTGGACAGGGCCAGGCCAGTGATTGAAGTGCCTGCAAGCAGGAGCAGGGACCAGAGGTTTGATCCCCAGGCCTGCGGTGCCAGCCCCACCCCCGGGGTGCCATGAGAGGGTGATTGAGACTGGGCGTGGTGGCGGCACCTGTAACCCCAGCTCTTGGGAGGCTGTAAACAGGTGAATCACTACAAGTCCGATCTAGTAGTGAGCCCCTGAACACCCTGTAGGCCCTTCCCTAAAATATAAAAATACAAAAATAAAAATTAAAAAAAGGATCGCCTAGACAGCTTGTACAAAGTCAAGACAACAGGACCCTTCCTCCTGCTCTGACGGACTTGATCCCGTCCTGGGACTCAGTTATCATTTGCTAAATGCTATCCAGGCAACTTTATCAGCAAGCAGGGCTGAGAAGCAGCACTTGTGTCCACTGCGCGCCTCAGTGTGGGGTACAGTAGGGATCCCAGTGATCTTTCTTCTGCCCCGATGGTTTGTACATGGTCGGATTAATTTTTTGAGATAGGGTCTTGCTAAATTGCCCACACTGGGCTTGAACTTTGTATCCTCCTGCCTCAGCCTTTCAGAGGCAAGACCCTGTCTCATGGAAGGATTTTTTTTTTTTTTTTTTTTTTTTTTTGGTACCAGGGGTTGAACTCAGGCCCTTACACTTTCCAGGCAGGCATTTATGTCACTGAGCTATCTCCCTAGTACCTCTTGTGTCAAAAATAAATAAGAAAACTAAAAAAGTTCAAGACCAGTCTGGACTACAAAGTGAGCTCAAGGACAGCCTGAACTGCACTGCAGATCCTGTCTCAAAAAGACAAAAATAAGAAAATAACAAAAGAGGCATTGGCATGGGTTTCAACACCTGTACGGGGGCCAGGGGATGGGTGTGTGGGGAGGACCTGGGACCTAAACTGCAATTCCAGTTTCCCAGAGACCAAGGCAGAAGGCTTGCAAGTTTTGGGTCAACCTGAGCAGTTTAGTAAGTAGTCTCTCTAAATAGATATTTTTTTTTTATTTGTGTGTGTGTGTGTGTGTGTGTGTGTGTGTGGCCAGCTCAGCCCACCAGGGGGCGGGGCTGGCTGGCATGTGGTGCTGGGGGATTGAACCTCGGTCCCTGTGCTTTGCTAAGCTTGTTCTAAGTAGGTGCTTTAGACCACTGAGCCATCTCACCAGCCCCAGTCTCTCTAAATAGAATAAAAAAAGGTCAGGGATGTAGCTCAGTGGCAGAGCATTTAGGGGAGGGTATGACAGTTCTCAAAATACAGAAATGAAATACAGTATGAAATACTGTTCAATATTAGCCACCAGAAAAACGCAAATCACTGTGAAGCTGGGTGCCATGGTGCCTGTCTGTAGTCCCAGCACCCTCAGAGGCCGAGACAGGAAAACCACAAGTTTGAGTCCAGCCTGAGCAACACAGTGATTTATTAACACCTCCCCACTCAAAATAAAAAAGGGGTGGGGATGCAGCTCAGTGTGAAGATGCTGGGTTCAAGGACTGTAAACAAAACATAACACAATGACTTATAATGACTGTTACAAAACAAAGCCAAAAAGAAAAAAAAAATGCTAGTTAAGATAAGGAGAAAAATGGACTCATACACTGTTGACGGGAAAGCCAATTAATACAGCTATTATGGGGCCTAATAAAGTAAAAATAGGTTTTAAAAAATAGCTTAAAGGGGCTGGTGAGATGGCTCAGTGGTCTAAAGTACCTACTTAGAACAAGTTTAGCAAAGCACAGGGACCGCGGTTCAATCCCCCAGCACCACATGCCAGCCAGCCCCGCCCCCTGGTGGGCTGAGCTGGCCACACACACACACACACACACACACACACACACACATAAATAAAAATTAAAAAAAAAATAGCTTAAAGGGGCCAGGGAGATGGCTCAGTAGAATAATCGCTTGCCTGGCAAGCACAAGGGCCTGAGTTCAATCCCTGGTTCTGGGAAAAAAAAAAAAAAAAAAAAAAAAAAAAAGAAGGTTAAAAAAAGGTTGGCTTTGGACATGGGTGATTTCAGCTACTCAGAGGCTGAAGCAGGAGGATCACAAGTTCCAGGCCAACCTGGGCAACTTAGTGAGATCTGGTCTTAAAATAAAATTTAATAAAGGGCTAGAAGTACAGTTTAGCACGCCTGAGTATGTATCCAGAGGAATGAGCTCAGCACAACCCAGATCACTGAGGCCTACATGTGGGAGCAGGCTGCTGCCCACCAAGAGAATGGATAAAGAAAACAAGGTGTGTGTAGAAAATGGAGTATTATTCAGTCATGAAGCATAATCAAGCCCTGTCATTTGCAGCAAGATGGATGGAATTGGAGGGCGTTGTATTAAGTGAAATCAACCCGACACAAGAAAGACAGACCTGTGGGAGACGGAAGAGAAAGGAAGAGTTGCCCCGAATGTAGGGTGGTGATTGCGGGGCTGGGAAGACAATGAGGTAGGGTGAAAGGGCAGAGGCTGGGCTTCATCGGCGCACTGTACAACAGATGTTAATGGACAGCGAAAGCTTACTAAGGAGCTTAGAGTTGTGAAGCTGGTTAGTTCATTGTATTCTTCCTGGGAACCAAGATAAAGGCCTCATTTTCCATCTGCTGAGTTTAAATAAACTTCTGTGTTCTAAATGGAAGAGTGCAGTTTATAGC